AAATGAACTCAAGCGCTCATTTCCATGACTGATCAGAAATACCTGATGAAATACCGGTAAAATCTAGCAAACAAACTGTCCCCCCTTACCATTTACAACTGAATTTCATCATGCACTTGCAAGGTACTAGATGGGACTTGAATAGTCAGCATTTCAAAACAGTGGAGGAGGGGAAAAAAGTCTCAACTACTCAGTACTCAGGTGTACATACACATACAAAACCCTGTTTTCCTGAGATTTCAGTCCAATCCACCAAACCAGAAGGTCCAATAAGCACCTGAAATTTCTTAGACTTATCTGATCAAGGTCTCCAAACCCCTGCTGCACATCACAAATTTTGTCATCAAATTGATTCAAATAAAACAGTGACTGATTTGGTCTACTGTTTTTTGGAGGCCTATCAAAATTATTTCTTGATTGCAAAACGGGTATAAATTATAGCTGGTAAACACTTGAGAGTGCTGATGTATCGGTTCATTAGTGTATGAAAACATGGCCCAAAGGCTTATCTTGCAAACCTTTAGAGTGCAAAAATTATTTATTAACTATTATTGCACTCTTTTGTAGGTGGGGAAAAGATGAAGCCGTTAACTCAGCTGACTATACTTAAATCTACTAAATGAAGAACAAACACTGCAGCTGGTCCACTACAGCCACACAGAAATGGCTTGGGGCAAATTAATTCACTTCTGACAAATATATCCCTCCTAGTTCTATCCACAGAAATACCTGAACATCTTCCATTTACTTTCTTAGATACCACCAAAACTATTTCACCTGAACTAGTAAATCCCTTTCAAGTTATTCCTCCTCCCAGGTCCTTCTATGCTCATTTTATATAATAACAAGGCTTAGTGTTACAGGAAGGGGAAAAAATAACCCCATACATTCTTTCCAAGTGACTCTCCATGCCCAAACTCTCATAAGGTCTCGTTTTACCAGAGAAATGTATACTTGTGAAGAAAACAACAGAACTAACCTTAGAGGATTGTACACATCTGTATTCCCTCACCACATTCAACACAGAGACACTTGTAATAAACAGGCTTTCTGATGGAAAGGTGTCATTTTCCAGCTGCAGTGCAATCAATCACCTGAAATTATTTTTGTTTTATAGATGCTTCCCTGTCTGAAGTGACAAGGAGGTACTGATTATTCCTTTCTCCAGTCCCAAATCTGACATTTGTCCCAGCAGTAGGGGAAGGGGACAGACAGTGTAGAACTACACTATCCCATCCATGTGCAAATCATAGCACGGTTACATAATTTTCCTGAAATATATAAGAACATATTTTCTAAGTTCACTGCTAAGTGTCTGACAGTAATAAATGAAGGCTACTATTTGGACCAACTTGTCATGATTATTTCTAGATGCTAACGCATTCCACTAAATATTCCTACAGCACTGCCAGTGTAAACACGAACTAAATACTCAGAGCAGGCATTATTATCACTCATATTTCACAGTGATGCCATGTGAATATGCAGAAGACCAGACGCTTCCCTCCCACAAACCCTTCTCTCCCATCCTTTACAGGATTCCTGTGCTTTTATATCACCTGATAAAACAACTTTTAATCATGCATTGGCATACACAGGCACACAGTACATTTTGAGCCAGCATTTTTGGCAACACATCCTAAAATTTAGCAACAGCCAAGGCTTTGATTCATAAACCGTAAGATCACAAATAACCGCATATAACTCTCAACTTTTAATCCAGTATCTCATCTAATCTGCACATAAAACAATTCAAAGGATGTGTCTTCCCCACTTCCCTTAGCAAAACAGACAGTGGCAAACTACCAAGACTGGTTAAATATTTCTGTTACCTTCCCTAATATTTTCTGCCCCTAGTTTTGGGACTGGAAGTAGCTCAATAACTCAGAATTTTATAATTTATGGAGAAATACACGGTAAACATAAATGAAGAATAATAAGTATATAGGGATGTTGTTTTTTCTTCTAAATCCTGAATGAAGTAATTCAGTAAAATATTGAAAAAATAAAAAATATTTTGCATAGAGCAAAAAGACACTTCTTATGCATAAATTATGTTCACTTTTCACCATGTATTTTACTAGTAGGAAGAATCTTGCAATGTAGCAGAACACAAGCTTTTTCCTAAGGAAAACTAACATATGCACTCTTTTTGAGTCATGTAGAGAACACCAGAGCAGAGAAATGGTTCAAAGACTCTTTCTCTGTCAGAGAATTGACCAGACGGTAAGTCAAATCTACTGATGATCTTAAAAATTATCCAATTATGGGTGCATGTCTGAGCTTTGCCCACAGTGTTTACATGACCTCCAATGAAGATCCTGAACTACAGCCAATATTCACTGGAACCAACTACTGTGTAAACAACTGTGAAAAAATATACAGGAAAAGCTTTGTCAAGTTTGTAGCCCACAACTGCATACAGTGGGAATTGATGAAGCCTTTGCAATACAAACAGCGCCCCAAATCAGTTATCCACACAGAGAAAGTTTCCAGTGATAAGGGACACATGTAAGGCACGTTCTTTTAAAAACCTGACTCCCATTAAGCAGCTCATTGTTCATAAAGGGAATAGTGTTTACACAGGAAAAAGTCCACTTTCAACAATTCTGAAATCCAACAGATGTTTCCTTCTATCTAAGCAAAACGACTTTGTGACCCATTACTGCCCAATCAGAAAGCTTCAAAATTATTTCTGCAGGGAAAAAAAACCCTCCATACTTGACAGAATGATCTTGGAAAACAAATTCATTAAAATTGTATTTCAAAATTGCAACTATTATTAAACTGAATTAACTTTAAAAAAATCAGTGTTCTTTAAAGAAAATGTCTTATCATCTTGATACAACATGATAATTTTGGTTTGTGGAAGAGAAAGTAGGGCAGACTGTTAACTAACAAGTGCTCTGCATTGCAATTTCTATCCTCAAATCAATTTAAACCTCCCTTCTTCAGACCTCCTGCAACACCCCTCCAAAGCTCCTGGCTGCTCTTGGTATCTTCAAATCTCACAAGGCTTCTTGTCCTCTGCAAACAGCAAATAAATAACAGAAGTGGCTGAGCAGAATATAAAAGGTGGATCTTTTAATTTTATCTTACAGGATGCACTAATCATACAGCAAGCCTAAGCACTTTGTAGAAGCATAGAAGACATAGAATTTCAGGCTTTGCCAAAGTTGTACAGTTGAGACTGTGCTGTTGCACACTTTACTTTGACTTACCATCAGGAGAAAGTTTCAGGACTTTCAGGATGTACATGGTGGCATTACACAATTACAGAACAAAGCTGGATCTGGTGACATTCCGTTGCACAACAAAATGCTGCAAAGACAGCATCTTCCAAGGAGATGGTGCACCTTCTGTCCCCAACAATACTGAGCCGAGACACACCACAGGTTGCTGAGGATTTTATCAAATTTTTATACCTTTCCTAAAATGTAACTGCAGAGGTCAAATAAGCTACATTAACAGCTAGATACAAACATCAAAGCTGAAATTAAAATAGTCATAAACATGAGTATGACAAATGTAATCAGCACATGCAACCTTCTGTGCCACCTTTACCTCCACGAGTCCCTTCTTCACTAGATTTCACTCCAGTTATCGTCTGTCCAGCTATTTTGTGATCATTATACAAAGTTCCCACCTCTGTATTGTTTTATGTGCATAAAATTATGTACAATACCTTCAGCACTGAGGTTCCTTACCCCAGCTGAAGCCTCTGCATGCCCTGAGAGGACTATATAATGGCAGAACTGAAATCTGCCAGCCGTGTGATGCACCCTTTTTACACCTTATTACACCCTTATTACAGCCAACATGAATATCAGCAATGCGAAGGAGACCCACTGAGACGCAATCCAAATCTGCCTATCAAACTATTATAGCAGAAAGTAGAAGTGGTTTTCTCTCTCCCCCAGTAATCCTATTTGTCCTCTAAACAGATCTTAAGCATAATCTTGAACTGTCAGCATTTCTGTAAAGAAATACCAGCTCAAACCTAATTGGATTTGTCAGACAATCACAGTCCAACAGTTCTCTGAGATCTAACAGCTGAGAAGCTGTGGGACAGACTCCTACATTGCAATATAAAAATATGAGTCCATTTCACAAGGGAATATTTCCTTTGAAATTAAGTGATAACAAGCCATAATTTGTTGCACAGAACCCTCTGCTTTAGCAACATCATGATATGGTGTGGCATAGCTAAGGTTGTGTAACCTGCTCCATATAGAAAATTATCTGCAGTTAACTGTTCAAACACTATCACTTCAGGCTGCTCTAAATGTAGGAAAATTGGGGTAAAAAAAATCACTGAGAATTCTGACTTGAACAGGTATGAGTAGCATTTGAAAAGAAAGCAAGTATCTATTATATCACATATAAACAAAAAAGATAGCAGAATATGTATTTTAGCTGATGAGCAGAAATACTTCCTATTCCTCTGTACTTTTTGTGTCACCTACATATATAAACATACATGCAAAAACTTGCTCTCCATGTCATCATCTTCCTGTTCTGTTCAGACTTCTATGAGCTGGAATAGTGCATTTTAAAGACAATCTAGGGGATAACAGCCTAAAGATCACACTATCCTCATCCTTTGAAATGATGGAGAGGTTGCATGTTCAGAAAGTATAATAAGCCAAATCTTAAAACACTTCCAAAGCCTACAAATTGTGGTCTCTTTAATGAAGATCTGGATTATTTCATATGTATCTGGATCCAGAAGAAAAGTTATTACTCAGATTTTTTGTTGAAAATTGAAGTGATGTTAATTTCCCTAATTTTAAAATCATACAGTCATACAGTAGAAGAAAATCGACTTAAGTACTCAAGAATGTTATTTTGTGTGTTTGCAGAGTTTGTAAACAGCATGTGTATGAGGAATATAAGTAAACTTTCCACTGAATTCCAACCCATGCTTTGACCTAGGGCAAAAGTGAATTAATGTATTGAGTCTATCACTATCAATAGTCAGGCGTTATACACTTGCCTACCTGTTGGCTTATCCACACCAAGGAATCCAGCCTCTCCCAGGATTTTAAACACTTTATGTGCTGGGAACTGTCCTTCTTCTTCCCACTTGTCCACAAAGGGATTAATCTCCTTGTCAATGATCTAGTTTTGGAAAACAAATCATAAAAGTTATAAACAGGCATCGTACAGAAAAACCTTTGACTACTTTCACCTAAAAATTGTAATTCAAAAAGAAAAAGAAAGAACAATATACAGGGAAAAAATCTGAAAGCCCACTAATTTTCTTACTTCCTGTTGGATATCCTTATTCACCCACAACTATTACAACAAATGTAATAGGGAAAATGTAAGTAATTATTTTAGCAATTACTACAAGAACAGGCCATCAGGGCTAATTTAAGCCTCTCCTAGGTCTATGAAAATGGCTGTTTCTCCCATTATTAGTTACTTTTTTGGGTACAGTTTCTAGAAAGTGACAGGAAGTGAAATCTGGATTATCCTCCAAAGAACCTTGGCAAAAAACGTTGATCTGTCCTTGATGACCATACACAGTACCAAGAAAGTCAAGCAGAAGAGATTAATTTTGATTACAAAAATATGGATGTGATCTAGTATCAATATCCAACCGAGATGGACAAAGACTCTTTAACCATTTCAGGGTTACAGAGTGTATCTTTATTAGCAGCACTGGGCTGGTGTGTTGGGTCACCCCTTAATACACATGGCCCTAAATACAGGTGAATACAGGCTTTTTATTTAGAGAAATATTGAATACAAATACATATTCATAACCCAGTTGCCACCCACTTTCCACTTCATATGCTAATTAAAAAAAAATTAAGCATGTGTAGTTTGTTCTTTAAAATGGGCTGGTGGTCCTTTTATGAGTAGGGGTCAGGGAGGAAGGGATATGGCTCTTCCTCGTTCTGACCTTTCTACCTTTTCAATGCAAAGTGACAAATGGACCCTTGGCTGGGCTCCTAGTTTCATGTTTTCAATGAGTTTCTGATTTGCAATTGTCTTACGTTCTTGAAGTTCCTTACCAGATTCTTTGTTTCTCATTATAAGCCCAGCTGAACAAGCATAATGTTGACAGACAATTAGTTATTAGCCAGTGATTAACCTCTAATTTTAGCAAGGACTCTCTATCTACCTTTAATTTTAGCAAGGCCCATCTATTTATTTTAATTAGCTTTAGCAAAGCTTATTTTTAATTAAAGCCTTAGTTTCTCTAAAATCTTGAATTCTTCAAAGTTTGTCTCAATTTCCTCTCCCTTTGCTTGAAACTCTCTCAAGGAAGTTGGTGCTGTTCAGGGCTTTAACATCTAGTCTGTATTTAGACCTCCCCACAAGTGTGACAGAACATGTACTGGAAAAGTATGATCTTCTTCCAGAATTTATAATATTCCCCAATTGAGTCTCTGAGCAACTCGTGACTGTGCTACTGCTAGTGCTGCATACCTTCCAAAAGTCAGCGTCCCAAGCTGCCTGATTACAGCCCTTACACTGCTCAGGCTGCAGTGTTCCTTTCCAGCCTCTACAAGCAAAACACATCTGGAGTACAGACACTACATTCATCCACACTTTCAGGTTTCAGGGCACCAGAGCTGAGTGTTCTGCTCCACGAAGTCCCAGATTTCCACAGCCATGGAATAGGAGCAAAGTGGGCAGCCTGCAGGTGCGTTCTTGCTGCCTACCAGCTCATCATGAGGCAGCAGGATCGTGCCCACCTCTACCTGCCTCTGCAGCCCAAACCAGGCCTTGCCACAGGCTGCTTCTGCCATGCAGCCAAGAGCACCACACACCTCAGTCAGCCTCACGAGGGGTCCAAATGGGAAACATCCTCCCCCCAAACTAAACCCTACCAAAACAAACACCAGTTCCCAATAGAAAGGTAATGCCTTAACCTGCGACCATGATTTTACTACTAGGCTGTTTCATGAAGAGAGAATTTGTTATTTCAAGAACTTAGTCCTCTTAGTCTTCTTTCCCCACTAAATAAACAAGTCCTGTGGTGCTAACTATTTCTTGAGCTGGAAATAGAATCCTCTCCCTCCTAGACTGCTGTGTTCTTGAGACCCTGCACAACCTTCTTCCAAACTATCTATTTACTGCACATTCTTTGGAGAATTTCAGCCCATATATGGCTACTTTCTGCCTTCCAGTTGGCCACAGAAATAAGCATACTTGAATCCTGGTAACAGAAAAATCACTTTTTCACTTCTCTCATCAAATTCTGAGAAGTTTGTATACTGACTATTCAACTCATCTGGTAATTATTATCTCTCTCCCTCTGTTATATTGATTTAATTTTATTGATATTGATAAATTTTATTGATTTATATTGATTTAAACAGGCCTAATGATCATTAGTAAAAAAATACTTGGCAAAACCCTATCTAGGAGAGTTCACGTTTCTCTTCTATATTGCCATATCCCATATGCTCAGATCCTAAGATGCTGACCCTCGATGTTCGAGGTGGTGAAACACCTTTTTGGCTGTATTAGCATCTGGCAATGCTCACTGGATAACACCCAGGGGAATATCTGAAAGAGCATACAAAAAATTATTCCGGTGTTTTGACGGATCTTGGCAAAAATATGTGGTGAATATACTAAAATAGAGTTTTATTTGCTATAGCTGGTACTGGGCCAAGTGTTTTCTAGCCTACATACAAAGTTACCTTTGAAGTTAAGCAGATTCTGAATGACTAAGCCATGATTTCTGCAGGTTTACTCCCGTGCCTTTGAGTAAAACCCGAATTGCTTAAGAAACGGACTTATTACCAGGTGACGTTTGCCACGCTGAGTAAAACAAGATCATCCTTGCATGACACAACAATAAAAGCCCCAAAGACAACCTCACTGCACAAACCACAAATTGTGTAGGGCTTAAAAAAAGAATTTAAAAAAAATCACAGTCCAGGTAGTGTTCTTAGCTATTGGACCATTCACTGTGTTTTTGCAAGGATTTAAATAAGTTCTATCAAAAGCTTTTATGCTTCAGTCACAAATTGCTTGCAGAAAATCACACATGGTATTTTATAATCATAAGAGGATTGGGGGAACACCTTCCCTTGTACAACCACATAAAAACATAAGCCAAATTGCTGGAGAGCTGCAGTACTGCTCAATTGGCTGGTGTTTCAGCACTGATTACTAGGTGTTGTCATCCCTTCCTAGAAAAGCTCACTGAAACAAGGAGAGGAATTTTTAAAGGTTCACGCCATCAGTGACTGAATGATCATAAAATTTAACATTTGCTTAAAACCTTGCTGAAGACAGGTCAAATAATGCTTTGTATATAACCATCTGATTTGTCCCTTCCCTTGCCTTTAGCAACTTCTTCACATTTGTACCCTCAGAAAAGTATTTTACACTTGAACTTCAGACACATATTATGTAGACACCTTAACTTAAACACTTAGACACTTAACTTAAACACTGCACTAAATCCGTGCAGTGCTTGGCAATTATACAGAAGCGAGCTTTCAGCAGTATGTGAGTCTGCTTATTTATGTGTGACTATGGTCTGCTTATTTATATATGCTTCATCATGAGAAACATGGAAATCATGGGTGCCAGCATACAGACTTCCATCACTAGAATACCAACTATAACAAGAACTAAAACTTCTATCAGTAGAAATATCTAGCACTGCATACCACAGATGCCATCTGACAGATACTCCCAGCCACAAAAGAAATCTTCCCACCTGATCTAGCTTGCCAAATCTCAGTGGCATTTGGGATGTAGAGTTGATTAAGGAGTCATATAACTTTCCCACCTGCTGAAGTACCAGTAAACCACAACAAAAACTGTTATTTTCTTGACAGCAAGGGCAGAGAAAGTTTCACGTATGGGGCTGGTGTTTTTCTCGCGCTACTTTGCCCAAACACTGAAGATACAAACCTAGAGGACTAGGCTCTGGAGGCAGCCTTGGTTTATCCTGCATCCCAGCATGAGCTCAGGCTGCTCTCTGGGAATCCTCAAAAAATGGCCTCAGGGCTGTTATCAGCTGTGAATTATTAAAAACACTCTGGATACTTGCCCAGTCGGAAATGGATCAAGCCAACAAATTCACTTCATGTTGAATGACGGTAAGAAAAGTAAGTGTTTTCACTAGAAACTGTCTTGACAAAGTTTTGTGAAAACAGCACCTGTAGCTTCCTTCCCAGGACTGAGGAAATGCCATGGCAGGGTTGGAGAAGAGACAGAGAAATAAATTCAGATTTTTTTAGAAACAGGTAATTTTAATTTCTCTTCAGAAACAAACAATAAAAATATCCCCCCGAATCACTGCCATAGTTCCAACTATTTTCCACTGAAACTTAGTCTATTATTTAAATGAGAAAAGTAACAAAAATATATGATGCTGCTGATATTGTACCATCAACTACCCACAAACATTAGTAATTGCCATTTAGTTCTGCATTCTAAAATAAATGCATTCTACAACAGTAGAAACTGTACCTGAATTAATTTGAGTACTGAGAGTATGTACAGATGTCCTTCAGAGCAATTAAAGACTAGTTTTCATTATTCACTGGTATGTTTACCTTCTATCACACAATTCAGAAATTAAAGACCATACCAGTTCTACACACACTACCTCTTCTAAGTGCCCCTTGTCAGCGGGGTACTTAGAAACTGTGCAGTGTACAGTTTCAGCACATTATTCACAAGATGATTAATTTTGAAACAATAAACTGAATTCTTAAAAAATTACACAGTTTTTTACTAAAGCTTCCTGTGAGTTATACCTCAGCTAAGATTAGACTAATTTACTAGAGAAGCAAGAGAAAATGTCTAAGAAAAAGGTATTTCGTATTAAGAAGATTAAATGGAGTCAATGAGGCCAGGATTAGATTAGATGTCAGGAAGAAATTCTTTACTCAGAGAGTGGTAAAACACTAGAAAAGGTTGCCCAGAGAAGTTGTGGATGCCTTGTCCCTGGAAGTGTTCAAGGTCAGGTTGAAAGGGGCCTTGAGCAACCTGATCTAGTGACCAACGTCACAGGGGGGCTGGAAATAGATGATTTTTAAGGTCCTATCCTACCCAAACCATCCTATGATTCTATGATTTTATGGCATAACTGTTACATATTATATTAGGAGCAGCATTTTCTTTTCCCTTTAAAT